CCCTCCTGGAGACTCATAGGGGGCATGGTCCACTACTGGAAAATGGGGCCCCAAGAAAAGAAAGGGTTCAGAGCTAGCCAAAGACGAAGAGCGCGAGGTCCCAGAGGGTGAGCCAGGCCAGAGCCATACAACTCCACATCCTGCGCATCGTCCCAAGCCAGCCCGAGCATGCACACCCACGTGGGCCAGCCCCCGTGACAGGCCGAGGAACGTTGAGAGGATCGAGCGAGACGCCGAACACGAAGGATACGGTGCCACCGCGGGACTGGAACACGAAGGTCAGGTGTTCGGGTTCTTGAAATACATGACGATCGAGGGGAAGTTGCACTAAACCAGCAGCTTGTCGAGCGCAATGGCGCGCTGCACGGACCTCACGAAGATGGCCACTTTGTTGAAATTCATGGCGCCGAGGAGTTCGTTCAGCTTCATGTTCTTCTCCTTCTCGGAGAGCTTCCCGTGGTGCTGCAGCAGCCAGTGCAGCGTGAACTTGGACTCCTCGCCCACGCGGATCTCGCGTGGGTCCTGCATGCTTTGCGTGCACAGTCCCCGCGTCTCCGCCGTGATGGTGGCGCTGAGCATCATAACCTGGTTCTTCTTCGGGGCCTCGATGAAGAACTGCTGGATGTCCTTGCACATGTCCAGCCTGTACTTCTCATCATGCCCCACGCCGCCACCAGGGAGGCCCATGGAGGCGAGGAGGGGAGGAGGCGCCCCTGGGCAACGGCAAAATGCCGGACTTTTCGCCGTGCGCCGCCGCAAACGACGTGCCCTTCCCGTCCGCCCCGCCGCGCGCCCCGAAGGAGACCCGACGCGGGGGCGGCGCCACTGAGCCAGACGGGCTTGAGCCAAAATGGCTACGGCTCCTCCTCCGCCTCCTCCTCCTCCTCATCGACATCATCATCATCATCATCATCATCATCATCATCACCCGAAGGAGACCCGACGCGGGGGCGGCGCCACTGAGCCAGACGGGCTTGAGCCAAAATGGCTACGGCTCCTCCTCCGCCTCCTCCTCCTCCTCATCGACATCATCATCATCATCATCATCATCATCATCATCATCATCATCATCATCATCATCATCATCATCATCATCCTCAACCTCATCCTCATCCGTATTCTCATCCTCATCCGCATCCTCATCCTCATCGTCCTCATCATCCTCTATCCCGCTCCTCCTGCAAAGGCTCTTGTGGGCGTGGGATGGCGCGCCTTCGCCCCCCCTCCGCCGCGGCTGTCTGCTCTGGTCCACGACGCTGCCACTCCCCTGGGATCCTGGCGTTTCGCGTTTTTTCGAGGCACGGGCCCCCGAACTCTGGACCACTTCCCTAGGACCAGTTTTTCATCCGGGGTTGTTTTTGACGGCCCCGAGGTCCGGTAAGGGCCCCAAGAGGCAGCACATCGTGAAGCACCTCTCTCTCGATGTTTCTCGAAACGCCAGATGTCCGGGAGGGGGTCTGGTTCTGGTAGCACCCGAGCCACCACCGGAGCTGGACGAGCCGCGCCGCGGAGGGGCCGAGAGCTCCCCGCGGGAAGCCCCCCCCCCCTCCTCCCTGCGGAGGCCGCGGACGCGGCGCAGGCCGCGCAGAGCTGGCTGGAGGAGCCGCGCGGGAGGGGGCCCTGCCGACCTCCCCCCAACCCAGTAGCAGCAGGAGGAGGAGGGAGAGCAAGAAGAGGGAGGGAAAAGGGAAGAGGAGGAGGAGGAGGAGGAGGAGGGAGAGCAAGAAGAGGGAGGAAAAAGGGAAGAGGAGGAGGAGGAGGAGGAGGAGGAGGAAGAGGAAGGGAGGAGGAGCTGCGTGAGGAGGACGTGGAGTGCTCAGCAAGAAGAGTATTGAAACTGTACGATCGTCTGCTGGGCTGAGTATGTAGGATGCGACAGTAGATAGGAGGACCCGACACAGTTGGTGATTCCAGGGGCGGCCGCTCCTGGAGTCGCCTGGCGTACTAGTTTGACCAACTCCCCATCACGGGCAAACGCGCCTGAGGAGGGATGGCCGCATCAGGATGGCCCACAGGCCGAGAGAGCGAGAGAGAGAGAGAGCGAGAGAGAGAGAGAGGGGGAGGGGGAGGGGGAGGAGGAGGAGGAGGAGGAGGAGGAGGAGGAGGAGGAGGAGGAGGAGGAGGAGGCGTCCTCGTCTTCACCTCTCCTCCCTCATCTTCATCTCTTCCACTCTTCCTCTCACCTCCCAGCGCGCGGCCACCTCGCCGTGGACCTGCGGCTGGGCACCGGCAAGGCGGCACTGGGGTGGAACCGTGGGCGGTAGCCCCCCCCCTCACAGAGGCTGCCGTGGGCGCTGAGGCATTCTTCCGGTGACAATGTCTGACCCGGCGGAAAAAAGCTTCCTGTCGTCGTCCTCGTCCTCCTCGTCCTCCTCCCCCCCCTTAGGAGGGACCCCCTCCTCCTTCCCAGTAACAGTTTTTCATCCCGAGTAGTTGTTTGATTATCCTGGGCCCAGCGAGAGCCCCCAGAGGCCGAAAATGGACCAAAACTTCGCGTCGTCACTACGAGGGGAGGTGGGGGTCCGACACGGGAGGGGTGGCGCACCCCCGAACCCTGCCCTGAGCTCAATGGACTCGCACACCCGTGGCGCCCTTGGCGCCAGAGTCGGGGGCAGGTCAGAGGCAAAGTCGGAGGGAAATCGGCTCAGGGGGAAACGCATCGCCCCCGAATCGCCCATTCATCACCGAGAAGGGCCCGATAGCCACACACTCGCCCAGGAACGTACCACTTTTCGCAACGAGAGGTGAGGGTCTCACCTCATCCGATCTCCACCTCATCCTCCTCCTCCTCCTCATTTTCCTCCTCCTCCTCCTCATCCTCCTCCTCCTCCTCCTCCTCCTCCTCCTCCTGCTCCTCCTCCACCTCCTCCTATTTTCCGCAGCCATTTTGGCTCAAGCCATTTTGGCTCAAGCCGTTCTGGCTCAGGTCTACGACCTGTGCTTGCTGACGCAAATCTTCAGAGCGGCCTGCGTCAGCGGGCCATCGATATCAACGACTACGAGCACGGCAGGTTCGGGGGCCTGCCGCTGCTCATACCTTCATACCCCCACGCTGCCCTTGCTGCTCCTCTTGTGCCTGCTCAGCTGCCTTTGGGTGGTTGGAGCGTTTGAGCGGCAGGGGCCAGGGCGGATGCGAGGGAGAAGTCTGCGGGTAGGGGTAAGGAGCGCAGAGATTGGTACTGCAAAGATTGCACGCATCCCACGTCGGGCAAACCGCTCATCAACTGGGGGACGAATCCCAAGTGCTTCGCCTGCCGTATGCACAAGAAGGATGTATTCAAGGCTAACGTGGAGCCCGCTTCGCCGTCCAAGAAGCGGCTCGCAGTTGGCAGAGGTGGTACGAAGGATCTGGCAGGTGGCGTGCTCACGCCTCGCGGCTCGGCTGGCTCCGCGTATGATCAGAAGCTCATCGCGCAGTTGCAGAATGAGCTGGCGACCCTCCGTGGCAAGAACGCGGAGAACAGTGCTGGACCCCAGCAACAGGCCTCGGCAATGCAAGTGGATGCTGGAGGGCCTGTTGACAGCGAGAATGATGACGTTGCGAAGAAGAAGGCTGAGGATGTCAAGGAGCTCGAGCTGGAGCTGGATGCTATCAAAGGTTTATCCTCTTAGTGGGCTACTGCGCAGAGAGCGACGCTTGGACAGCTGTTACAGCAACGTCGTGCTGAGCTGCATGTTGCTAAACCTCACGCCCAGGCCCATACCCTGGCGAACAAGGTGCGGCAGCAGCGCATCAAGAGTGAGAAGCTTTTCGGTAAGGTGCAAGAGGCTCAAGCTGTGCTCGCAACGGCGAAGTTGGCCGTGGAGGACGCTGAGAAGAACCACAAGGAGGCCCAGGTCGCACTGTGCGCGCTGGAGGAGCAGTTGGGAGCGCCGCAGCAAAGGTTGCCTGCGGTGCCAGCACCCGGCGACTCCAATCTGGGCGAAGCGTGCTTGGAGGTGCTGGGCTTGTCTACCGAAAAGCTTGGGGAGTTGGTATCTAAGGCTGCGAAAGGTACTGATATCGGGCTTGAGGCCCGTGAGCGATTGTCTAAGGGTCTTGGAGGGGCGCTGCAGGAGGTGTTCGTCTCGCGAAAGCGTACGGCTACCAGCGAGGTGCGGCAAGGTCTTCCAGCTTCTGGTGAAGGCACTCCAGCGGATGCGGGTAATACTGCTGATCTGGGCGAGGCTTGGAAGCCAGATGATGTTGATGTTCCCGCTTTGCGGAAGGAGCTGGACAGTCTTGGGGCGGTGGACGTCGACGCTGCGAACGAGGCTACGGAGGACGAGGCTATACGCGAGATGGCCAGGAAGTTGGCCAAGTGGGGGTTCCACCCCAAACGCGTGGTCAAGTCGGGTCCTTATTTGATATCCCGCCATGCTGGTTTGTTTTATCTGGTATATGTGCACCATGGTCAAGACCAAAGGATACGTTACCACAGTGAACATTACTTCTTGGGGGTCATTGGAGCCGCGTTTGGAGAGTTTCGATCGCGATGTTGCAGTGGTGGTTCTTCAGGAGCACCATCGTGCGGGATCTGACTTGGGCGCTCTCCAGAGGCAGGTTCGGGCTTTCGGATACGACGGCATTTGGTCGGGTGCTATTTCTTCATCGGAGAGCGGGACCACAGGAGGCGTTGCGATCCTGGCGAAGACTTCGATCCCCATGACGCTGCCCCCCTTTTTGTCTGACCCCGTCATTGTTCCAGGCAGGTTATCTGCGGGACACGTACATTGGGGGGTTCAGAGTGGGGTTATATTGTTGTCCATCTACTTGCAGGATTCCGTTGGCACGAATGATTGCAACAGGGAGGTGCTTTGGCAACTGGCGCGTTACCTCTCCAAGCTCACGGCAGCGCAATATGATTGGATCGTTGCAGGCGGCTTCAACATGGATCGCCAGCGTTTAGAAGTGCCCTGGTTACCACAGCTGGGGGGCCTTATTGTGACACCAAGCTTGGCGACTTGTCGGTCCACCAGGGTGGAGCAGCACGCGGTGTTTGCTTACTCCGTGGTATCTGCTGACCTTGCTACGCGCGCGCGTCGGCCAGAGGTGCAGGAGGCGTGCACGACCGCCCCGCATCATCCCGTCCATCCTCCCGCTCTCGCGGAGGACTTGGAAATGAGAGTGAGGGTCGTGCGCGCCCCCCGCAGGATTCCCGCTGCACCGCATCCTGGTTGTTCGCGTCGTGCTCAGGACTGGACAGGGCCTCCTCGCATTGTCTCTAACCTCCGGGAGGCAGAGCGGTTGGCCGAGGCTTGGGATGTTGCGCTGAATACGGCCGAGAGCGAGTTATTCGACCGGTATGAATTCGAGGTGCAGCACGGTGACTCCCACGTTGCACGCGGCGCAGAACCAGCGGCCAGTTTCAGCCGCGTCTCCTGGCAACCTCCTGCGAGAAGGTCGCGAGTCGGTGCGACTGCGTTGGCGTACAAGGCAGCTGCGAAGCGGGCGAAGCATTTACTGGGTGTCTCTGCGTATTTCAGAAGGGCTGTCTTGGAACTGCACGCCACTCGTTTGGTCGTGGATCTGCGGCCCCAGCATTTCTGCAAGATCGCGAACTGTCTGTTGGAGGCTGCGTCCTATTGTCAGAGGGTTCCCAAGCATGGGGGATTCTGTAAGCTGGAGCATTGGGTCAGAGACTTCTTTCTTCGAGGCATGGAGATGTTCTTGTGCGCTGAGTTCGAGCAGCAGGCAGCGAACATCG